TTGTCTAATGTTATTATTCCCTGTATTCTTTAATTTACAGTCTCTTCATTACTTCATTTAATTTAAAAGTGCCACAGAAATAAAGTTGGATAAGACCTTTTAATAAAAAATCAATATACTATATTTTCGAATCATACCATACGTTAATAACTAGATGTTTCGCACAGCTCCACCTGCTCTGTTTAATTATACGCTATTTGCTATATATTATTCAACAGGTCATAACCTGATATTAGGTAGCCTATATATATATATATATATATATCCTTTCTCAATAAATAAGCTATAAATAAAAAAAAACTTTTCAGTTTTATATTAATTAGTCTATACATATAATAAAATTGTAACTAAATCGAATCTGTACATTAAATACGTAGAGTTCAAGTGTGTCTGTCTGTCTGTCTGTTACCGCATCACGAGAAAACCACTGGACAGATTTTGATGAAATTTGGTATGATGATAGCTGGTTATCCTGGTCAACATACTGGTAAACAGATACTTTTTACCGCGGGAAAATATCTTATTTCTGAGAAAAAATACAAAACTGCATTGTAAGAGTATACTAATATGTAAAAGCTAAGAATTTGCTTTTTGGTTATCTGAACGAGGGCGGAGCCGCGGGCAATGCTAGTATAGATTATAAGACCTAATCTCGCTTCGTTCAGGATTTACTTTCCAGTATCTTTAAATCTATGAGAATGGGGTAAAAGTTACATTATGCTACGCTTACTGTAAGAAACGAGTCTAAGGCACGCTAATATCTATAATATCTGTACAATATTGCAAGTCGAATATAAACAGAATTACTCCAGATAATCAAGACATATATCCAGATAGACAAGACCTGACGTACGTTCACAAAATATTCTTCAAACTGGATAAAAATCAGCAACAGGACTGATAGTTTTAAATCCTCTTAAACACGTCGGTGTAACACCACCAACTCCTCAGCTTAAGGTTGCTACTGAGTATTTATTACATAAAAAAAAATTATCCCGGAAAATTTGAACCCAAGATATCCAAAGTCTGTTATCTCACTAGTTAGCAAATAGCGAGGTCAGAAACTATATGCATATAATGCAAACAAGCTCGCAGTTATTCAGTAGTTTATCCCAACAATATCTCTATTAATGCAGACACCCTAATCCGCATATTGATGGAACAATACAATTTGCGTACAATGCCTGACAACTAATCGATAAACTAATGCTATGACAATATTACTAGAATACCTTGGTTATTATTTAGGCTATTAATATACACTAAGCCTATAAGGACAAAATTATCGTTTGATATAATAACAAATACCTAATCAGATATTTTCGAAGTCGGTGCCGCAGTCGCAGTTATCAGCGAACTTCATGTCGCTTTTCGGCTGTCGGGGTGTAATTTTTCCAAACGTCCCAAACGAAGTATAACTTCAAAAAACTTTGTCTAAATTTTTTTTATTAAACTTAATTAAAAACATGTTGGACACAGACTTTTTACCTTTCAGCTCGTCAGTAGTTACTGAACAAAAAAAAAAGAAAATCGGTTGACAAATAGAAGAGAAAAGGTAATTAAATAAATTCAACACAAATGAATATTTACATTTTACACGCCACCAATAATGGTTTCGCAAAGCGTTATTCGCAGCGCTATTTCAGCAAAGACGAGGCATTTAATTAAAGCTATGACAGATGTGATTCATCTCAATCACACTACATAGAAATTTGGATGCTGTTGTTTTTGGCATTGAATATTATTCTCTTATGTAATAATTATTAAATACATCTATTATGGAGTATAATAAGTTTATATAACTATTATGAATAATTATCACTATTCATTTACTTGTATTAGGCATATTTGTCTTGGTTTCAAGTCCTGTGTTAATAAACTATGAGATTACATAATACTTTCTTAGATATAAGCGATTGTAATATTTTATTGTACCTAAAAAAGAAAAAAATCACTTTTAAAAAAAATCTTCTTTGAGAAGAAAAGTCATTATTGATTAAAAAATACAAAAGACTATAATAGTAATTAGTAGGCTTATTTTTGTTATTGATTATTAAATTAATATTTTTTCTCAAAAATGAAAATGATTAAAAAAATCTCTTTTTCCTAAAGAAAATAAACTAACTTTATGGCAACATTAGAAATAGTAGCATAAACAGTAAAAAAATCGATACTATTTAATCTGTGATCTTCAACGTTGACAATGACGTATACGAAAACTTTATCTGACATTTTAAAGATAAAAAGAAAATTTACTTGGAATAAGTCACATGAACGGCGACATAGACCACATTAGTTTCTTCTATAACCCCGAAACATAATTTGATTAAACAAAACGCAAGGAGCGTGACCTGAAAGCGTCACATATTGCCGCCATTTTGCTAACGTAATAAAGGCGGGAAAACCGCTGTCACAGAAAAACATGTTTGAAAATAGCACCTTCTTTTTCTGTAATCTTCATGTTGCCAGAATGAGTCTAATAGCAAATTTGAATGTAAATATGGACATTATTTTTTAAATGTGGTAATATTTTAAGTTATAATGTTGGCATTTAAGATAACATAAAATTTACGCGACTTTGTTGTTTTCTTCAAGGAATTCAGCTAATTATGTCACAAAAGAATGAATTTTAAAATTTCTAAACGTACGCACGTTCTTACCTTATTATGACGAACCATTTAGCATCTATATTCTGTAACATCTATACATATAATAATATTATAACTAAGCCGAATCTGTACATTAAATATTTTTTAGAAAATCTTATTGAAATAGATATAATTATTGATACAGAGGCTGAATCTATAGTTTTTAGAATTTTTGTCTATCTGTCTGTTTGTTACCGCATCACAGAAAAACCACTCGAGGGATTTTAATGAAATTTGGTATGGTGATAGTTGGTTATCTGGGTCAACATATAGAATACTTTTTACCGCGGGAAAATGTCTCATTTCTGAGGAAAAATACAAAAACTGCAATGTAAGAGTATACTCATATGTAAAACCTAAGAATTTGGTTTTTGGTCATCTGAACGCGGGCGGAGGAAATGTGTGATACAAAAAATTTCATTATTAAATGTCAATCCTAGTCTAAAGTTTTGTAACAATAGCAGTACCTACACCAAAAAAAACCTTTTAACTATAAGAAGCTTAAAGAATAAAACTAAGTTATTTAAAGAATATTCTTTACAAAATAGATATTAGACGATGCTTTTCAATATTGTTCGTCACTTGGACGATCCATTATTACCTATATATCACTCATTCATGCAAGATCTCATAAATAATTTTATTACAGCTTATACAGCCACAAAGCCTTTTATAGGTGAAGCGCTTTCAACAGGTTTATGTCCCTCAGAATAAAATACTTACACTCTATGAGCCTATATAGGACTCACGTAAGAATGGATTTTCTTTATTATAAACGAGCTAAATATAGATTAACATTAATACTTTTATTCCCGTTTTTCATCATTTTCTGAACATAGGGTTATTTGTTCACTAAAAAAGGCTATAAGCAAAATTTTTCAAACCGGACAAGGAAAACAGATCATTGCATTCAAATATACAGATTTATTAGTTTCATATTAATAGCACAGATTAAGTATTTAAAAAAAAGAAAAATATAGTTATTTAAAGATAATCAATTCGCTCATAAAATGTAGAACTTTACTATGATATAAAGTACCGTATAAAGAAGAGATTTACCGTTTCAACAGGTTAAAATTCACTATAAAACTCTGAAATACTCTCACACGCCATAAGGGCGTCATAAACTGTTCCATAATAGCCCAGTTTGACTAATGGCCACTAAAGCTTGCCATACACGTTGACTACGTGAGCTTATGCCTTATATAATGGATAAAATTCTAGAGCGTTTTTCTTAAACTTATAAAATATTTTTAACTCCTCGTTGATAATTTTCTTTTACATATTTCTACTTTTTAATATAACAATTGTATATAAAAAATTATGTTTAGAGAACAAATCAATTTGTAATGTAAATTATTTAAATAGACTTACACAAGCAATTTTAAATTGTTTTTTTATACCTAAATCAAATGTCATTATTGTAAGTCCGTGAAGAAGCTACTATCGACTATTTTTTTAATAGACTAAGGTATTGAAAAACAAAATCCAAATTACATTCGTGTAATTTTGTCTCAGTATCTTAAATTAATTTTATTGTTCGAAAAAAAATCACTGAAAATATCCATATAATTTCTATTTTGTGAACAAAATACTGACTTTAAATAGCGTAGTGTCATTTCATTTATTTTCATAAATTATTAAAAATTATATTTGGTTATGGGAATAAAATTTAATGTGATTCCAGAATTAGAACATAGTTAAATAATATTAATGGTAGAGAATTAGTCTGCTGACGATTTTAGGTTTCGAATAGGATTGTTCAACCCCTATTATTCTGTTGTAGTTGTACGATAACTAGGTATTATAAAGCTACTAAGTCTCTACTCTGATGGTCTTAGGTTCTATTCCCCTTGAAGGCAATTATTAAAACTGTATATAAGTATTTATAAAATAAGATTTTCAGGTTTTGTAATTGAACAGTCTTAATTTCCATATGCTTGCTCTACCATCAGAGCACTCCGATATTATTTAAATCGAACTCCAATATTTGATAATATTACAACTAAAATAAGTGAAGGCAATAAAAGCTTGGAAAACATTCATGGAAAATAAATTATTGCCTAATTGTGACACTTTCATAGATTTACAGGATTTGACGTTTTAAACAAAGTTTTTTTTGACTATTGATTTCGAATGCGTTACAGCAAACATGCCCACGGAAGAGACTAAGGTTTTTTAAGTCCCAAAAGTTTTTTTATACATATTATAGACGGCGTCTACCCACAAAATTGTATGTGCTATTAAATCAATCTTCTCCTCCTCTGTGTGTCAATAGATTTTCTTTTTATTTGTTTAGTTGCTATTGACAAGCTTAAGTAAAAAATAATCAACTAATATTCATTGTTCTAGTGCTGGATTGCGTCGTGTCTGGATGGGACGAATGGTCAGAATGTGACACAGCGTGTGGGTCAGGTAGCATGGTGAGGAGCCGACGAATCATTCAAGCACCAGCTCATGGTGGCCGTCATTGCCCATCACTAGTGCAGCGTCGTGCATGTCAAAGTCATCATGGATGCAACGCTGATAGTGATGTACCATTGCGAGGTAAATAGGATTGGTTAGATAATAGTAGTATAAAATTGAGAATTAAATAATAAATAAATATATTGGAACAATTAACACAGCACCATCTAGTTCCATGGTAAGCTACGAGGCTTGTGTTATGGATACCAGATAGTTGATACATTACACATATAACTTTATATACATACATATTATAAATATAAACACCCATGACTGGAGTACAAATATCCATGCTCATCACACAAATGAATGCCCCCAGCGGTCTCGAACCCGCGACCGCTGGCACAGCAAGTAGGGTCTCTATAAACTGAGCCAAATGTGTCGTCAAATGAATTAGTTATTAGTTTTAATTATTTTAAATTACGCAATACAAAATGAAGTGTAATAAAGAAGGTTATGTCCGTATGTGACGTCATTGCTTCTAAATAAATAGGAGCTGGTTGTATGTAGGTGGTTCTTAGCTATATTTGATGACAATATATTATCCAGATTTTCAATGTAGTACAACTATATAAGACTAAGTTGGAATCAATCAACATGAATTTTGATAATATCCTTCATATTGGGATAGTTTTAACATGACAGTTTGCACCTACTAATTCTTTAAAAATGTAAACTTCCCATACAAATACAATGAACTAAACGGGAATCGAATCCACAATCTACACATTTAACTAAAACTACAAGATACAGACGACATATATAAGAAAAATAACTAGACACATTATTTAATATTTATTATTAGATTTATAAGTTGATGTCGTTATGAATTTATGAAAAATAAAAATACTGATATCGGCTGTTATCGAAATTTATACAGCCATGAACGTGATCAAAATGTTTTCATGTAATTGGTCAAAGCGCTTTGTGGGGAAATCATGTGTGTATTTCACTTCATTTTACCTGTTTTAATGGGAACATAGATGATTTTTGTTTTAAACATATCTACGGCCGATTTTAAAAATAATAATATTTATTTTTTATAACAGAGGAGTCAGCTATGATTTTGCCGGGTGGTTTATCCGTCAGCCGACACTCTAATGAAACTGTGGACATCAGAAAAAACTTGCGCATACGCAACCCTGACGATCCTGAGTCCAATTCACATAGAGAGTAAGTATTACCACTTAAGTCTAACCAACATAATAAGTAAGATATATATTATGTAACAATTTATCAAGTGAGGAATCTAGACAATATGTTAATTTAACAAATCAATTAAATTTTCTTGTTAATGGCTGCAAAGCCATTCAACAATGATAATTGCTAATAAAAAAAATTAAAAAATATATCAATTTAATTTTTTTGTTTAGTGGCTTCTAGGAAAAAATATATATTAAGATTGACATATGTGATCGCTATGCCACATGGTTAGAATGTCATCCCAGTATGTTTTTTAAATTTCTCTTAGCGACATTGATGTAGAAAGTTTTGCCCGAGGATGCTCATTTTTATAGTTGGGTCACGTTTATATTGACTTGAAGTAAAAAATACGGATTTAAAGCTTGTTCCTATAAACTATAATATTCTCTTTGAGGTTCTAAAAACATATTTTTATTTTACGATTTATGTAATTTCAAAATTTAGTTATATTTTTGTTAAAACTTTTTTTTACAAGGATATTTTGTTATTTAAATGTTAGAGTTTTTTCATTTCTTATATTTTTTTTTGTAACATAAGTGAGCAACAACAACAACATTTTTATTAGTTTAACAATTATTATATACATGTTAAGTTAGCCTGTAATTGTGATATACTTTGTAACACTTTCTTATGTATAACTATAATAAGTTAAAAAATGTATTCTTAGTATATACCGTAGGCTTCCTAATAAATAAAATAAAAATAAAAAATATTTTGACTATCCCTATAGAAAAAGCGTTGACATAATAGGACCTATGTTATTTTCTCCATGTATTCAAACTGAATGCTCATATTTTTGGAAAGAAGCAAAGGATTGGTTTGAAATGAATGAATATTGTTGCAGATACTGCGTTCAGTTCGATGTGACCAAAGTGTCAAAGGCGTGTCACACAGACTCAGATTACAAAGCTCTGCGCGAAGGTAATTTAAATTTCATGCTTTCTAGCTTTTGCACGGCTTAGTCCACTTTTGTTTGTAATTTGTATTACACCATGCAATATTTGACGAGATTCGATAAAAAGAAGGACTTGAAGACTAATTACAAATAATTCTATTTCTGAAAGATTATATTTAAAACCTATATCAGCATTTTTAATAAAACTATCTTTTCGGATTTTTTCGAATGTACGTTTTTCGAACGAACGGTCGTTTCGAATACTTTACAACAATCATGGTCAGTCCTTCGAGGCGTCTAAAACTTTAGTCTTCTTGAAAAAAATCCGAAAAGATAGCTTTACAATGAGAAAAGATCAAACTTTCTTGTCCATTTTGACTTTTGTGTTTGTTCAGGTAAAACAGTTTGTGTGATGTGTGAAGCGGCGGCCCTTCGTCGTGATCTCAATTGGCGGTGTGGTGGGCACGGCGTGTCGGGTCATGCTACACGATTCTACGCGTTAGTAGCACCACATTGCCATGGAAAGTGGATTCGAGCTAAGGACAACCTAGATAGAAGGAGCGACTGTTGCTCTAATCCCGATTTTATTTTTGTATAAATTAATTTTAGTATACAACAAAAATTAATTTGATTATTTAGTACTGAGGTATAGAAATATTGTTATAGACACATGGTAAAACAAACGTTACACGCTAGTATGAAGTAAGATATATATATATATATATATATATATATATATATATATATATATATATATATATGTGTGTGTGTGTAAAATGTTTATTGTATCACAGTAAATTAAAGGACTAATGTTAAATATTTCGGACATTATTCGTTAGGTTATTATAATACGTATTATTTTTAAAGGTAAAAACACATGAAATAGCTTATAAAATAACTTATATTAAAACTCATTTGCTTAACCGATGTAAGGTAGCATGGAAAAGGTATGATAGAAAATGATAAAAATAAACCGTAAGCCGATAATTTCGGGAATATCGATATATTGTTAAAACAGATTTACAAATAAAAAAGGTATACTGACTTTAAAATACTTTAAAGTCATTGCTAATCATTTCACTCTTCGGTAATTATTCTCGGAATTTATATGGGACCACCCTTGATCGAACCTATTTATATAAAATCAATGAAGCCATTATGCTTATAATTGAAGGATAATGTCTAATAACATACACCTAAAAATACGCCCAAATTCGTTTCCTTTCAGATGTTTCTTCAGACTTTTCTGACTGAGTTGAATCCTACCTGGATTTTTTGTAGCTAACATTAAAAAATATGACATAAGTAGCTGTTTTTTTTTTAATTTTTAATCTATTGATTTCTTCGTGGTGAAGTGAAAAATATTGTTTTATTTTAATTAGACAAATTAGCTAGAAAAAGTAAACAATAAAATCTTCTTCATGATAGTGTTTAGAGTTGGATCATCGCAGTTTTTTAGAATTTTTTTTGACTCTATCAGCTTTCTTTCTGGAGAGAAAGCGTCAGTTCTTGTAACATTTGAGCCTCTTCCTTTAGATACAATGTTTGTTCGACATATTGTATCCTTATCTTAAACCCCATCGATTAGATCGATAAAATAGTGACAATTTATTTTTTGCAATTTTAGTTATTTCTAAAAAATTTAAAAACTATTTGAATGTAGTTATTATTATTTTTAAAAATAAAATAATATTTTGATAAAAATTTGATATCTTCAATATTTAAGATTCTCTTCCATGTCTCTTCCACTTGCCCTATATGTTGCACAATACCAGTTATGATGTCATACCAGTACATATGCGACCCTTGTATGTTCTGAACAGATCACATCGTGTATGTTTGCAATTAATAGTAGTTAATTAATTGCTTGATCAAACACAAACCGATGCAATCGACGCGTTTCGAATATACAAAGCGTAATTGATTAATATGATGGCTACTGATTCTGATAGTTTGGAGATTTGAAAAAAATCGATAGTGTCAATAAAAAATGTTAAAACTTAGCCAAGTTGTTTTTCTCTTCTATTTCTATAAAATTCCAGTGTGCAGTGTTTGTAATTCTTCTTTTCCTAAATGACTAGACCAATTTTGATGATATTTTGTGTATTATGAAGTCACCTGAAAGGTTTTTAGCTATAGTTGGGTTCTGTAGGTTACAACGAACGAGGTTTGTGGCAGGACAACGTCTGGCTAGCGGCTTATACTATCTCGCATTAGAGCTATTATCACGATAATGGTGCATTTAAAACTAACACATTTGGAATAAATAAGAACATTACTGAAGTGAAATTCATACTAATATTATAAATATGAAAGTTTGTCAGGATGGACGGCTTGTTACTCTTCAACGCCACAACGACTGAACGGATCTGGATGAAATTTAACACAGAGATAGATTATAGTCTGGAATAGCACATAGGTTACTTTTTATTCCTGAAAAATGTACGGTTCCCGTGGGATAGATTTGTTTTTGTCTAGAGACGAAGCCGAAGCTAAGCGAGGGTGAATCGCTAGTATAAAATAATTTTAATATATACGTAGATATCGATATTTGCATTCTTACCATAATGTTATATAAATTTTCAAAATAGATACCTTGACAAACTAAACTACAATGAAATTCAATATATTGTGAAAATAAAAGCTTAGCATGAATAAAAATAGGTCACTTTTTGTTAAGATAGCTTTACAAAGTCTACTTTTATTCTATTTTATTACAATGATAATATGTTATTATTTTAATTCCAGATATAGGGACGTATTTTTATTATAATATAATACTCATTTTAATATGTTATGTTAATATATAATCAAAAAATGAAAATTCAACTTAATCTTGTTAATGTATTTTAAGGGTACATAGAAGAACATTTTATTTTGGGAAAGCCATAGAATGGTAACGATTCCTTGGAGATTGATTGGTAAAATAAGATTATTGCGCACTTTAGTTCCGCTACACGTAGCAAGAAATCTACTGTTAAAAATAAACTTATAACGAAAACTATGATACAATTATTGTATACAGAAATAGTTTATTGTCCTTTATATCATAAAATAGAGACAACCTATATATAAAATTATGTAAAGGTGGACCTTTAAGAAAAAAATTCTTCTAAGTAATAAATAATAATTGGTTAAAATTCAATTCAATTTTCTTGTTAATGACTCCAAATCGTGCCAATTGCTATATTATTTCCTTTTTTTATAGTATGAGATTATTATGTTAGCTGTAATGTAAACTCTCAAATAAATATTTAGCTATACCAATTCTACTAGACTATTAGAGGTTCAACAAAAAGTTTCTATAATCATTTTTGCTGATAGATAACTAAAAATGGGTGCGTGTAACTTTTACGCGCGGTTGAAGTAAAACTTCTTTGGCAAATATCGCAATTAAATTAAAACAAAGCAATAATTAAATAAGGCATATATTTATAGAATATCATATACGGAAAGAATATAATATTATATATTTGTCAGACAACAGTTACCATGGCCACATGACAATTCATTCTATCTCATTCTTTCGCCGGCTTAATCCTATATATTTATGTGTTTGTCTCTATTTAGTGTTGCACTTCGTTTCATCGAGTTTTAAATCACAACGATTCTAAAGAAGTTTTACTTCAATAAATAAAAAAAAACACATTTTGACCACGTGCTTTTGCGATACCATAAGTCATTTTCATTTTTTTTATTTTCTACTTACGTTGGCAATATAGAAAATCTACTTAAACCTCCCTGGTCTAAATCGATTACTTCCCGTATAGATGGAGCCGCTTTTAAGATCCATATGAATTTATTTTTTAAGATCTATATTTTTTTTAAATAACATAAAATATAAATGAAATGATGTTGCAATACAAGTTAATATTCTGAGTATTAGGTTAAAAACTAATATTTTATTTACTAATTTGGGAACATTGTAAATAAGTTTTTTTTTCAATAAGTTAAAACAATTATAAACTTTGTCTAAGCTTATAATAGAAAAGTTTTATAGAGTGAAGGATAAAATAAATAATAAACTAAGAAGACTATGAAACATTGTGAAAACATATCGTCGACAAATGCTGTAAATAAAATGTAATAAATGCATCAAAATAATTTTCTTTTATTACCTTTAATAATAATTTTATTAATGTGTATGTAATAATGTAAATTTTATGTATTTGGGGTGTAAGAAAAAGCTCCTTAAATTATTTGCTATATCTAAGAGTCGAATCTAGGGCATATAGGCTAGCCATGAGGTAGCTAGATTTAACTTTTACTTTCTTAGAACCTTTTTTTCATTTCTACACGATTTGTTTATAAGTAGATAGCGTTTACAACTAACTTTTAAGTCGTCAAAAACATAAAAAACATAAACATAGTCCATTCCGTGACTATGTTGGTTTTAAAGCATTCGAAACATCAGTCTTAAGTTAGTTCTCATATATTATTATTATTCATCAAAACATGCGTTAAACACCATTAACTTTTCAACTCCGAGCTGCTCTTAATTAAGGTATTTTTAATTGATAAAAACCGTATTCCGTCCGATCTATTACCAAAATAGGGAACTCACACTCGAACCCTGGACCTCCAGAAACGATTACCTTAACAGATAGCCACTAGACTAGCCAGCCAATATCTACTAAATAAAAATAGATATGAAAGATAGAGATGAAAATGAATCTTGCAAAGAAAGAATAAGAAGAACTTACAGAAAATATATTTTAAAGTACAATAAATATATAACGCTAAGGTATATCCGCTACCAGTTTTGACGAAGCCTTTATGATGCTTGCTCAATACCATTAAAATTATACTCTTTATTTGCTCTACTTTCGATATATCAATTAAATAAAGTTATATTGCAAATAATGTTTCATTTGCAAGTTGAAAATATTTTTATAAGCACCTTTCATTTTATGTTTTATTTGGAAAAACATAAAACAAGTGAATGCTACACGTAGCTTTTGAGCATTGTTTCATTTATGAATAATGAATAAATTGTAAAGAGTATGGTTTATTTGAATTATTGTAATTGAAGTAAATGTACTAAAATGCTACCGTTGGAAGATTTGTTAATGATGGCACACGTTGTATCTGTTATCTGCTGTGGAAAATAATATATATATATATATATATATATATATATATATATATACATATATATATATATATATATATATATATATATATATTCTTTATTGTACGTTTAAAATCTATAAAAAAAAATTGAATTGTCTGTCTGTAATGTCCAAAACATATTTTTACTAAATGCATATGAAATTATTGTGTGGTTTATGAAAACACCATTTAAGTTTTAAGGCTTTAATTATTTACACTGTTAATTTCTTTAAACTGTTACTTATTATATATTATTTAATCCCCAGTGCCACGCCTAAGTCTAACCTACTATCTTCATTATGATTGGTTCCCGACCATCGCATGACAAATGTCTTGGCGCCACCGAGCACAGATTAAATATAACTTTAATAT